TGAAGGGAGGGCAGGGGAAGGGGGAAAAATAAGAACCAAGAGAGATTATGTAAAGATGCAAATTTCCAATGATGAATGTCAGTATATTGTATACCTTAAATGTGCCAATATAATTAATAAAAAATTATAACTCATTAGGGAAAAAGATGCATCTAGGACTTCTATGATGGTCATGATAAATAATGAAGCAACATAAGCAAGGTGAAGAGTAATAGAAACAGCACGATTCTACTTTGGCAAAAGCAAACACAGATCTGTCCAAGTCTGTAAAGTGTTGCAGGTATAAACATGAGCGAGGAAAGGTGCGGAAGGATTCAACCTTGTTTTTTGCCTTTGAAGGCAATTGAGAGAAGGGATCAAGGAGATAATAAAGTATTTCTTTATGATTTCCATGTTGTTTTTCTTCTTACAAGGACCATGTATTTTTTTAAAATATAAAAACAAAATGCTTAAATGTTACTTTTTCCCCAAGTTTTGGCTGATATAACAAATCATTGCAGACTGGGGGCTTATCAATAGCGTGCTGATGTATTTCTCACAGTTTTGGAGGCTGTGAGTCTGAGATCAGGGAAGCAGCACCACGGGGTTTTGGTGAGTACCCTCTTCTGGGTTGTAGATGTCTAAATTCTCTTTTTTTTCTGTACTAGGGATTGAACCCAGGGACACTCTATTACTGAGCTACATCCCCAGAGCTTTTTTATTTTTTGTTATGATTTTAGGTATTACTGAATCGCCCAGGTTGGCCATGAACTTGCAGCCCTTCTGCCTCAGACCCTGAGTAGCTAGGATTACATGCATATACCACCATGTCCAGCTTGCCTGCTCACCCAACTTCTCTTTTTGTCCTCATATGGTAGAAAGAAGGCAAGAGAATTCTCTGAGGCCCCATCAGTAAGGACACTAATCTCCTTCATCTAGGCCCTGACCTCATGACCTAATTATCTCCCCAAGACTCCACCTCCAAATAACATCACACTGGCAGTTAAGATCTCAATATATGAACTTTGGGGGAACACAAACATTTAGTCACAACTCTCCTTCATAAATCAAAGGAAACCACAAGCACAATCGATGCCAGTCTTCCTCCATCTCCTCTCCACCCTGTACTCATCCTCATGAGGTTAGCAACTTCCCAGTGTCATATCTGCCCCAGGAAATGGAGAATCCTATTACACCTTGTCCATATCATTTTTAATCTACCCAGTGTCAAGTTCCTTATAAATTTAATATCTATGAAGTGCTCGAATTCTTTAAATTAGGAAGTAGTCATAGAGCTATTTTAATGTTTCACCCAAGTCCTTAAGTTAGTAATCTGTTTGCGTGTAAAACACTTCTTAGTCAGATAATGATATTTAATTTGCATAATTAATAGGACATGGGATCTTTAGCCTGCCTGGTCTAATTTTACCAGGACATTTATTTGATTACTTTCTCAGCTCAGAGAACATGGTTGCCACTGTGATCACCGAGGGGGTAGGGAACCTCTCCACTGCATCCCCAAACCCACCCAAACCTGTTTACCCTCGAAGGCTCCTCTAGTTGCTCTTGGTCTTTAGCTGCCCTTGCTGCACCTTGTGCCTCTGGGATTCTAGCATTTTGCTCAACACCACTATCTTAATGAGTTGAGGTTGCCATAGCAAAATATGTCAGATTGGGTGGCTTAAACAACAAGCATTTGGGTTTCACAGTTCTAGAGGCTGGAAGATCAAGATCAAGGTACTTGCAGATTTGTCTGAGGTAAGGACCCCCTTCCTCGTTTGCAGACAGCTACTGTCTTGCTGTATCTTCACAGACTGAAAAGAGCTAGTCTCTCCCTTTTTTATATAAGAACCACTGACCTCATACTGGGTGTTCTACCCCCATCCAGGCCTCATCTAAACCTAATAACCTTTCAAAGTCCCTGCCTCTGCATACTGTCACACTGGGGCCCAAGGTTTCCATATATGAATTTGAAAGTGAGAGAGACATGAACATAGTGGATGACAAACTCTGTCCTAGACTGTTCAAGTGATTCTACAGCTACCAGTACATGTATCTTTTTTCCTATCAAGAAGGTGGAGCTACTCAATGGCAGGGACATTATTTTTCATTGTTTTTGCATTTGTTGTTCCTAGGACTATTTGCAACACATTTTTCACTCCCATTTTCTGCCTCCAGCCTGGCATGGTGCAAAGTACAGATCCTGAGACTGAGATAAATTCTCACTTCTCAAAAATCTCAGAATTCTGTAGAGGAGGAAAGCACACAAGTAAAGAATAATGCCAAGTGTACAACTGGAGCATGTTGAGGAAGTCATGGCACCCAGGGGAGACTCATTCTGGAAGTAGGAGTGGGAAGAACAGTTGGCCAGAAAATCTTCCTGGAAGTGGTGTTCGTGCCCAGTTTTCTGAGCCAAGGAGGAGTTAGTTTGGTGGGGAAGGTGGAAAAGGCTAGAACATTTCAGGGGATGATTGCAAGTATGTAAAAGAAAAGTAGAAGAAGACAAATAAGAGAAGAGCAACAAGATGTGCAGTTTTTACAATATCAGTGTTCCAGGGGAGCAGAATCCAGATCTGTTGAGGGTGCAGTCATGCATTGGCAAGTTAGGCTATGGTTTAAGAGTGACATAGGTTCTAAGCTAAAGTATCTGGGTTTTGTCTTCATTGGTAAATAGTATTAAACAGATCTCGCCCTCCTTTTGTCCTGAAAGTTGTAGCCATATATTTAGATCCACTGATCAAACCTAAAGCATATAAATAGAAATTCTCTAATTTCCTATTCAGTCAAATTATTTGGTGTTTTTGAAAGGCTATGAAGATAATGGGGGCTACTTTAGATGTAACGATTCAGAAGAAGAAGGTGAATTCCATTGTATCAAAGGAATGATGAGAGAGAACCATTTTTAGATAAGTCGAGCCAAGGAGGAAAATGAGACTTTCAAATGTGTCCATACTGTGGCACTGTGTTGGCAGCCAAATATACAGAAATGGATCTTAGTTCCTCATGACTCTTCATTAACCAACTTAGTTTTTTTATATAGAAAAATGTCAGGTATTACTTGCATTCTAGTCTTAGCTACTCTAAAGAATGAAATAGACTTTCAGTTTGTAAAATTTAAAGAAGTTGTTTTCACAAGTGAAATTTTTAAAAAGTAAATATTTGTGTGTATCTTTTGTTAGGTCAGTGTGAACCAATTACACTGGAACTGTGCATGAATTTGCCCTACAACCACACAAAATATCCAAATTACCTTGGCCACAGGACTCAAAAGGAAGCATCCATCAGCTGGGAGTCCTCTCTTTTTCCGGCACTTGTTCCGACCAACTGTTACAAATACCTCATGTTCTTTGCTTGCACCATTTTGGTACCAAAGTGTGATGTGACTACAAGCCAACGCATCCCCCCTTGCAGGTAATATGATGGAGTCTTCAACAAGCACCCTAATTTTATCTCTGAGAGAACCAAGGGAATGAAGTTGAGTTTGGACAAAATAAATATTTCTAAGGAGCTCAATTTCACAAATGATATTTTCAAAAATTGAAGGCATAGGTATAAAATGAGTATATCAGAATTTATTGCTTGTGCACCAAACAAGAAAGGTACAAACTGGGTTGAATGGTAGGCACTCAAGTAAAAGCGTGGGCATTTTATTTGGTGGCTCAAGAAGCATTTTTTAAAAACTATGAGTTGGCAGAGGTGATACACATACCTCATTCTTAGAATCATTAGATGTACAGCAGACATTTTTCTGTCTGTCTGAATAAAATATGAGTTTGGCTTGGACTTTGGGTATGAGTAACATCCTCAGGGTCAAGACTGTTGCTCTTGAGTCTACTCTCTGAGTTCAAGTCCTAGATCTTTCTAGTTGCTGTGGAAGCTTAAATCAAATTGCTCAGTCTCTCTCGGCCTCAGAAATACCATGGTAGTGGTTATTGGGCCGGGTTGTTGTGAGATTAAATGCAGGTGCATCAATGTAAAGTACATCTTTTGGGTTGTAAGCCCGATAATGTCAGCACAGAACCACAGTTGTGTAGTGGCAGTTTGCTCTTCTGTGCCAGGTGTTAGAGGTTGAAGTCAAAGAATTTGCACACACAGGGTGACGGTCACACAGGTGGCTCCTGCTCTTGATGCTGTTTTTTGTCAAAGGTGACCATGCAGATGTGCTTGCTAAATGTGAGTGGTAACTACGGAAACCACATGTTGGGATCAGAAGTCACTTAGAACTTTAAGAAAAAGCAATAATATCAATATAGTAAACAGATGGGAAAACAATGAATTAGATGCTGAATATCAAATGGATGACAAAGTAGGGGCATTTATGGAGTCAGGACAGGAAACAATAAAATTTCAAAGTGACTTGGGAAACTGAACAGATCATGGAAAGTGGAGAGAATAAAACTTAATGTTGGCTTGTTCAAGAATTCCAAAAACTTCTGTTAAATGCTTTTTAAACAATTGCTAATAGAACATCTACCAATTTCACGTTGAAAGGTTACTTGTAAATCTCACTCTCCTTTTGTTAACTAAAGTCACGCAATATTAAATAATTAAATAATTCAAGTAGTACTTGAAATCCTTGTATTTGATTTCCTTTTCATATATATATATATATATATTTCTCTAATTCAGCACTCTTTGCTATAAATGTAAATTTACATCCAAATATAATTCATAATTTCAGAGTTTACATTTCATATTTAAATGACTAAGATGAGAATGTTTTGAGATGTTGTTCATTCAGTGTTTAAGTGAACTTATATTGGGTACTTTGATTTTTTTAATGTATTTTTAATCTTCAGTGGTTGTCTTATGAATTTTACATTTGATATTTATAAAACTTTATATTATGACAAGAATAATATGCTAGTAAGCTTACGAAGCAGCACATGGATGTTTTGTCAAGTCTACATATTAATTGTGACATTTAATTTTTAAGTTACATGTCTGAAAAAAATCTACCATTATCAAGCCCTTACCATGTGGTAAATACTTTTGGCCCACTTTGCCATCTTGTGTTCAGAATCTCCTTTTGAGGGAGGTAGGCACCACCAGAGCTGCTGGGTATGGTTAAGCCCACACAGATTCTGACAGGAACAGTAGTCCTGGAATTGTGATGCTACATATTGTTATTTTTTCCATTTTATAGAAAAAAATCAGAACCGGTGAAATTAGCTACTACACATCCTCCTATATAAATATATTAAAATAACAGTGGCAATTGAAATATATAAATTTCTTTTTGTTTGTTTGTTTGTTTTTTGGTTTTTGGTTTTTTTTGGTACTGGGGATCGAACTCGGGACCTTGCGCTTGTGAGGCAGGTGCCGGAACCACTGAGCTAAATCCCAGGCCCTGAAATATATAAATTTCTTATAGATCTGTAGCAAAATTATTTAGTCTCAGGCCGGGGATTTAGCTCAGTGGTTCCACCACCTGCCTTGCAAGTGCAGGGTCCTGAGTTCTATCCCCGGTACCAAAAAAAAATTATTTAGTCTTTGAGACAGTTTTGAACACTACTAATGTCACATTTTTGCAAACGGAATATGGGAATGCCATGGCTTCATTTTAACCCCACATTCTGAAGATAAACTGAGTTATGTTTTGCCTTGTTCAGGCTCACATCTAGACAGTTTCTCTGAATCTTTCTTATTCCACTGCCAACCTTTCCCTATTAGTTTCTGTCAAGACTAGAGATGATTTTTCCTGGAAGATCTGTCCCATTTTATCTAAAAAAGGAAAAAACTGGTTGAGATTAGCTACACAGATCAGATATCCTTTATGAAAAATGATTGGCTTCAGAAATGTTTCAGATTTTGGAGTTCTGGGGAATATTTGTATAGACTGTATTTGTAGAGTGTTTCTAAAATCTGGAAATCCAAAATCTGATGTATTCCAACTTGGATTTTGGAACACTTCAGATTTTGGATATTTGGGTTAGGGTTGTTTAACTTGTACTTTAGAGTTTAAATCTTTTGAGAAGTAAAAATATATTTGAAAGAAAATAAATTTGCCTAGCTTTTTGGTTATGTTTACTTTTTTCTATGTATTTACATTTCTTAGTATTATATTGCAGTGAAACATTTTTTCCATAGGCAGTAAAGAAATCTTCTTTGAGGCAGACTTATACCTCAAGTTAAATATATTCTGGGCACAAATGAGATAAGATCCATTAAAGTACCTACCATGATGCTTATATCTTTTCTTTAAAAAGAAAAACAAACTTCATTTTAATTAGCTTGAGGGAGAACTACTGAACTTTTCAGCAATATTGGCCAAAGCTGAAGAGAGGCAACACGTTAGGTAAACTGGGCGGCACCTGCTCATCGGAGGGAGAGACCATTGAGGATGGGGTGTGGTGTAGACACCATGACCCTTGGTGGCAGGCTACCCAAAGGGCTTGGTAGGCTCTGCTACTTGGAACAAAAGGTTGGAGAGTGTGTCTGCTTGGAAGACAGAAGAAAGAATAAAAAAGGCAAAGGTGAAGAAGGGAACCAGGGTCCTGGAAATATCCTTATTTTTCTTTCTGCAGTGAAATTTCTTTCAATGAAAATTTGTTGCTGGAATGTATTTACTTTGTAGACATATTACTCATTTGGGTTCCCTAAATACTGATTGTTCATGTCTTTATATTTGTAGATATCCTCCTTATATACAGACCTGGACCTACACTCAGACAGAATTAAATCCCACATACATTCCTAACGTACCTCTCAGGTGGAGTTATTTTACTTCTCACATCTGTCTTCCTTTTTCTTTTAGAGCACTGTGTGAGCACTCTAAAGAGCGCTGCGAGTCTGTTCTTGGGATCGTGGGCCTACAGTGGCCTGAAGACACAGATTGCAGTCAATTTCCAGAGGAAAATTTAGACAATAAAACCTGCCTAATGCCTGATGAAGAAGTGGAAGGTTAATTTTTCATTCATTACAGTGGGGCATCTAACATGGATGAATATGTCAGTCTTTCAGTTTTGGGAGTATTGTTGTTTTCTATGTAGTAGCCAATCAGCGTGGATAAGTGAGTGAATGTATGAATTTGATTACATTAAAGACTAGGATTTATCTGTTAGACACCATCATCATTTTGGAAAAGGAAGAAATCTTCTTAAGAAATAAAAATGAACTCATAAATGAGTGCAATATTCCAGCTGTTTATCTTTTTTTAAATCATTTTTAATGGTATTCACATAGCTGATTACATGTGGTTGCTACCTGTATACAGATATACATTACCTGTATACATTGCCATTGAAGGTAATGGTGAACATAAAGCCTTGGCTTATTAAAATCTAAAGCATTTGGAGGCCTTTACAATGTAGGATTGTTAAGTAGATAATTGGAATACTGAGACGTGGAAATGATTTTGACACATTGAGGTCAACTTAGTGGTCAGGAGCAATGACACTCCAAGGTGTTTCAGGCCTTGGCCATTACTGGGTGTTCTGTTTAAAAGGATAATTAGCATGGAAGTCATAGACACTAAACTGCTAATCTGGAGAGATAGTGCCAAGCAGGAAGGAGAACGATGCTGATGAATATACAGAGGAAACCCTAGTATACTTCAATTGCTTCACCTTTTAGAAGGCCATCTTATTTTCGGTAATAGCTATGCAACAACATCCGACAAGTAAACAGATAAATTACCTGAAGTTTTCAAAGTTTCTTCCATTGAGAGCAGTGTTGTTTTTAACAGAATGTTCACCTAGTCACTTCAAGTGCCACTCAGGAGGATGTGTTCTGGCTTTCAGAAGATGTGATGGTCAGGCTGATTGTGATGATGACAGTGATGAAGAAAACTGTGGTATGTATGTGTGCTTAGGATTAGGAATTGTATGTTGTTAAAAGTATACTGTTCTTATAGTACCAAGTACTGACTAGGATTAAATGCTAATCCATTTGCTTCTTAAATATCGAACAATTGGACGTGGATTGATATGTATTTTTCCTGTTAACTTTTGACTTTCTCTAAATTTTATACTTTTTATAACTTTGATGGTATTGTGCAAGCACTCAGTAAAAGGAGGTACAATTCACAAATGCAATGAATCATTTTTATTATTAAATTATGAAGCGGTTGTTACCTGGTTTACAGTCAGAATAATACTATCCTTGCATATGATTCTTATGTTGTCAAGTAGGCATCTAGATACATGAAGACAGAGTTCAGGCTCCTATCCTCAAATTTAATTGAGATTCATTTTCATGCCCTCTCTTATTTTGTCTCTGTCAGCAAAGGATGAGACCCTTCTTGACAGTTCTGCTATTGAGCTCCAAAATCACCAATGGAAAAGCCAAAAATGCCAGTGGTAATTTAAGTGGAGCTAATTCCCTTTTTATTTTCTTGTAAACCTTGGTTTTTCCAAGCTCAGAATGTGCCAGGGAATTAAAAAATGCCAATGCTTTTTTTAAATAAACAATATTCTGGAGTGATGCAAAAATGATTGAAGAGCTATCTAAAGACTAGCTGGGTTACGATTATTTAGCTTGTCATGCCTCAAAATAAAATTGACACTTTTTCTTTGAAAGCACCTAAGATAATATATCTTTTGAGATCATTTCATTCTTTTGGCCTTGGAGGCATGAAATATTGCCTTACTCCCCAAAATGAAATTTCTGTAGTAGACATTGCTCTTCTAGTCTAGACAAAATGTCATAAGCAATCAGCTGAAATTCCATCAACTGCTATAAATATGGACAAGTGTATCTTTTGGAAAATTACAGCTGTCAGAATGACAGTACAATGACCAGGGGTAATTTTGCTATGGAGGAACATACAGTATTTTGGAAATGTGCTGTTATTTTCTTGTTTGTGATCTTTCTATATAAATACATCAAAATTCATTGACTATTACTTATTATTCCTTATTGAGAATGTATTTGATTTGTTTAATTAACGTTGACTTTGGTGGGCTATTCTGAGATGCAGTTTAAAATGAATTGTCTTAGATGGTTCAAAAAGGTTGCATGATATTCTGTTGGAATATTCTGTTTGGCCAAATTTAAATTTGCAAGAGGAGACTAAATATTTGGGAATACAAAAGCTTAGTTTAAAAACATTCCTTTCCAAGACTGAGGTCTGCATTCTAGAACATATTGTATAAAAAACTCAGAATTCTATAATATAGCATAGCATAGGATTTAAATGGCCCCAAAACATCAGTTTTCTAGGTAAAGAATGAGTTTTCATCAATATTTTAATCACATAGAACAATACAAAAATAATAAAATAAATTGTGTAATATCTGTTAAATGTTGAAAATATTGGCAGCACTATTCAAAGCTCTTGCTTAAAAATTTTTTTAAATGGGAAAGAAATTAGTACATTTGGAGTTAATTGTTCTAAGAGCATTAATTTATAAAAGTATTCTCCTTGGGTTTCTGAAGTAACTTAGGCTAGAAATTCTGTATACTTTCCCCTTTGGGATATGTCATGCACTTAAGTGGTTCAGTGTACTGGAAGTAAACACTACACATAGTAAAACACAGACGTCAGGGTGGCAGAGGCCCAGCAGAGGATTATTAGTAAGCCATTTGTTCCTGTTTTGCTGTTGGTCTGTTTTCATATGTGCATAGACACACAGTACTATCTGGTACTATCAACAGGTGCTCCAGCAAAGCTGGGTGATGCTCAAGATTTAGATCTTTCTAGTTTATTCTATCCATTGTGGTGTTAAAAGTATTTAAATGCTTGGACTTTACTGAATAATGTGAAGACTGACCATTCACTGTCATGGATCTGCAGCTCCTTTGAATGTCTAACAATGTTATTGGATTTACCCCTCAAGACCACACTTAATTCAGTTATAAATAATTGTTGTGCAGAAATTAATTTTACTTTGTGTCTCTTTAGTACTTTTGTAAATGGAAAACATGGTTGCTAAAGCACTTAACTTATAAATGCACTTTAAAAATATCTGTATTAGAATTGAGCAATGAACAGTGTTGTTCTTTAAGTGGTAAATTTTTTGTCATTGAAGTTGCTTTGATTGCATAATTGGTAATGTAAACAAGAGTTGAAAGAGTTGCCAGTATTAGAATTTTCAAAAAGTGTTTGGAAGAAATATGTAAACCCAGTGCTTCATTGCAGAATTGATTCACAGGAGGGAAGGCTAAGAGACAGGGGAGCAACTAGCAGAGTAACACCAGGCCAGTGCAGAAGGACTTTCTTGTCTTAAAGTTGATGGTCTGTCAGCAATTAACAAGTACTATCTAGCAATATCGTATGACTCATATGACCCAGGTTTCCCCTTCTAGATATCTTTCCAAAAGAGTTAAAGTCATCATATTACAGTGATGCATGCAAACCCCTGTTTATAGCATCACGATTTATAATAGCTAAATTTTGGAAAAGGCCTATCTGCTCATTGATAGAGGAATAGATAAAGAAAATGTGATATTTATACATCATGGAGTACTACTCTGCCATAGAGAAAGATAAACTTGAGACATTTGTAGGAAAATTGATGCGCATTGAGACCATAACGTTAAGTGAAATAAATCAGGCACACATGCTTAAATATCACATTGTTTCTCTTATATGAGAATCCTAAAATATAAATAAAGATCAAAATAAAGGATAGATAATAAGAGGCAGGGAGATAGATCTTTCTCAAATGGAAAGAGAAAGGGATCAAGAGATAGAAGGGAGAGGGAAGGGAGAGAAATGAAATGAAAAAAAGAATTAAGAAGTGTTATGTGTATGTACCAACTCCCCACAAGGAATGGAAATTATATGCTACAAACATGTACTAATAAAAATGTACTATATAGATGGAGCTCTCTCTTAAACTGGGAGCAATTTGACGCAATGCATTCATTTTGAACATAATGTTCTTTTCCAAAGCATTCATAATAGTGGAGAAGAAGACAAAGATTTGGATGAAGAAATGGACAGGAATGACATCAGAGAGGGACTGTTGAGGAAAATGACGACGGATGGATATGTTAAGCTCCGCCGTCACACTGTGGGTTTGAGGATGTGAGGCGAACGGTAGCTCCTGCTAGGTTTTAATGCCCACAGCCTCTAGAGCAGGTGGGCTCTGGGGGCTCTGGTGTAACCCATGAGTCTTCTCAGTGTGACAGCTAATTGAAAATACAGATGAAACAAGTTCTTCATATCTTATGTCCAAATAAAATCTTTCATTTCATGAGCACAGCATCACAATTACTAATTGTTTACTGCTCTAAGTAAATGGGTAGACTCCATATGGTGAAAGAGTGATAGCAATGCAAATTGCAGAGAGTCATGAAGTATCTATTTATCTTCAAATTAAACATCACTGTCAACTATCTTTGATTTCTTTTTAGGCTCAAATAAAATAAAATCTTTAAATACATCTGAACCATTTCTTTGAATCAAAATCCACGTAGGATATGTTCAAAGCTCTGATTGTCATATTTGTGGGTTTTATAGCTTGATTTCAAAAGTTTTTAAAAAATTCTTTTATTGGTACATTTTAGGTATACAACATGTTTACATTTCTCATTGGGAACTTGTACCTTTATATAATGCATCTTGGTTATTTTTTCCCCATTCCTAGCCCTCCCTTCACCCCCTCCACCCTTCCCTATTTACAAAGACTTTATTTCCATTTTTTCCATTTCTCATCATTTTTCCTTTCCCTTCTTTCCTTTCCCCTGCCTCTCCCACTACCCCTACCCCTTTGGACCTTTTCTTCCTATTTCACATTGTCAATTATTCATTTGAATCATTGGTACATTTTAGGTATACAATATAATGACATTCATCATTGGAAATTTGCACCTTTACATAAGCTCTCTTGGTTCTTATTTTTCCCTCTTCCCCTGCCCTCCCTTCAACCCCTCCATCCCTCCCTATTTACAAAGACTTTGTTTCCATTTTTCCATTTTCTCATATTAATTCCATTCCCTTCTTTCCTTTCCCCTACCCCTCTCACTTACCCTTCCCCTTTGCCCCTTTTCTTCCTATTTCACATTATCTATTATACCATTTAGTCCTTATTTACACTTTCAGTTTCTCAGACTACAGACACTATTTGGTATTTACAAATCTGTGTCCTATTTATTTCACTTAAGAGTATTGCCTCAATGTGCACCCATTTAGCTATAAATGTCTCTAATTGCTCATTTTTTATGGCTGAGTAGTACTCCATTTTACTAAAAAACCACATTTTCTTTATCCAGTCTCCAGTTGATGGGCAATTGGGCTGCTTTCAAGTTTTAGCTATTACAAATTATGCCGCTATGAACATGGGTGCACATATATCACTGTGGTATGATTCTTTTAATTTTGGGGGGAAGATATCCAGCAGGGGAGTAGCTGGGTCAAGTGGGAGTTCCAGTCCTAGTTCTTTGAGGTATCTCCATACTGATTTCCACAGTGGTTGCACCAGGCTACACTCCTACCAGCAGTGGAGCAGGGTTCCTCTTTCCTCACAGCCCCGCCAGCATTTGTTATTGGTTTATTTCATGATAACAGCCATTCTTTCTGGAGTGAGGTAGAATCCCAGCAATATTTTCATTTGCATCTCTCAAATGACCAGTGATATTGAACAGTTTTTCATGTGTTTATTTGCTATTTCTACTTCTTTGTCTGAGAAATGTCTGTTCATTTCAGATGCCCATTTTTCCACTGGGTCTTTAAATTTGGGAGGTCTGATCTTTTTAAATTCTTTATAGATTCTAAATAGTAGACCTTTGTCTGAGGGACCACTGGTGAAAATTTTTTCCCATATTGTGGGTTGTCTCTTCACACTATTGGTGGTTTCTCTTCCTGTGCAGAAGCTTTTTAATAAGAAGAGATCCCACTTGTTGATTGTG